AAAACAGAAACTTTTTATTTAAAAACTTACAAAATTTTTTATATAGTACACTTCCTGTCCATCAATGTAAGTAATTGAGAGATGACTGTCCTGATTTTATGCAACTGGTCATTTTCAGTTAGTGTGACATAATCAACAATCAAAAATACAAATTAGTTGCTTAAATTCAGGATACATACCTGGGGATCAACTGGAATAAGGGAAAGAAAATCCAAACCTAAAACAAAAATGCTTTGTTAATAGATATCTCTTTTATTTTGGAGAAGAGAATTATTTCCCAAAATCATTTTGTACTTAATCAAAATCACAAAACATTTGGGGTATGTGCTTACCACTCTGCCACACGCAAGTTTTATATCAACAACAACAACAAAAAACATACTTAGGCTCTTAAGATCTTGACATTTATTTTGTAGAAATACACCACATTAAGTTTCATCTAGAAAATCGCTTCTTGAACATAAGTCTGTTTCATCCATCATTCTCTTGCTCCCAAATCCCACAGCAAGGGTAGTGCACAGTGTATGTTCTGCACACAATGAGCTCGTGGTAACTGCATCTCACTGCCAAGCTACGTTGTATCAAGGTTAACTAGGTTCTAAGTTCATGTAACTTTCAAAGATTTAGGCTTCTTCATTTATGCTTCATAAACAGGAATGTGGAAAAGGTTGCCCAGTAACACCATTCTGAAGCACTGAATAAAGTTAAAGCAATAAAAAATTTTCAAATCTGAAAAGTCTAGCAATAATCTTTAAAGTCAGTTCCCCTAGACCTCTCTGCTTGACTAAAATCTTTTCAATTATTTCAAATCATTTTTTTAAAAAATCACATACAAGGCATAGGTCATTAAGACCTGGGCCAATTTCTACTCAATTTCATGAACTTTTGTTATGTTTGCACTGGATATCACTCCAAGTATAACAACCACACAGAGTAAAAGTCTGATGCAAGACCGTTACTCGAAACAGAGAATATCAGTGGGGACAGTATCTAAAAATTTTAAGCTGCATGAATAATTTATAACTCAAAAATGTTAATGTGTACTCCTCTATCATCTATGTTATAAAAATGTTTATCAAGTATAGCACCGTTTAAAAAGGTTTTTTTTTAAATTGTTAACAAAAGTTTTCATTCTGTATGGTTGTCATTGGCTATATAATCCAGGTGTTCAAGTCAAAAACTGACACAAGGGATCATAACAAACTTTCCCAGTGACTTCTCTATTAAACTGATAATCATTGGGTGACATAACTCAGTAAGCAGAAGATTTCTCTTCACATTAATACTGTTTATTAAAGTGAATCAGCTTTCTACTTCTGCAGAGTAGTAACAAATTTAGCTAGCCTTTATGATACTATCTGAGAGCTGTATATATTCAATATCACTATTATTAAGTCTCCAAAATAATTTATTGGACTATCATTTAATTGGCTCAATTTTATTAACTTTATTTTGCTTTGCATCAAATGTTTTTTATTTTTATAATAGCTTCTGCAAAAGCAGAAACATTTTTTAATGTTTGCTGAGTCAGTCAATTTTAATAACTGAAATCTTTACAAAGCTAAAAACAAAATATCCACACTTCTAGTGGAATATTTGAAGTCAAATCACTAAAAAAGACTCATTATCTAAATGTTTATTCCCATTTCATAATTTCAAATAAAGGAAATACACAAGACTTACTATATTTTTCAAACTGTTCTTGCAGGTCTACCACTAGAGGCTGTCCATCGAGGTCCAAAGACTTCCTATTTTCATTATTTCAAATCCCAGCTCTTCAGACACACTGTTTAATTCTCTTTAGTGATTATTTCATGTGTGGCAGTAGATACAAAAGTCTACTGAGAAAAGATCTGAGAGATTTACTTTATCTCTATCTTTTGACAATCTCATCCAGAGATACTGAATATGATGACTAACACAACATCGTAATAAAATACCTACAAATTTTTATAAACTTTGGTTGAAACTCCAGATTGTCTCCCTTTGTATAGGTACTATCTACACAACATCCAATAGGGTTTTATTATATTTCTCAATGAAACCATTTTCTTAATCACTAACACTGAAGTTTGCTATTTCAGATGTTATTTCTTCTAATAACACACTTAAACTATCATCAGTGTTGAATTTTATGCTTTAAATAGATTGTTTACAACTCTTATATGAAATAGGTGAAGTTTCAATAAAGATTGACATTTTACTACCTTGTTTCATTTAGCAAAATGCCATTCTCTTATGTCACTGTTTCAATTACAATGATATACTATATTGTTATCTTTTTATGTTATCTTATGTATTTCATGCTGGGTAATGCTTAATTATTTTTACCTCATGTTATAGACTGAGTTTTGTTCCCCAAAAATAGGTGTTGTAAATCTTAATCTCTGTCTGTGGTTATAATCCCATTTGGAAATGGGTTCTTTGTCATGTTAATAAGACAGGATTAGTGTCGGGTTTATCTTGAGTCAATTATTCTGAGGTACCCTCCCTGCCATCAAGCAGGACTCACAGCAACCCCTCCTTGGGTTTCTGAGATGGTATCACTACGGAAGTAGACTGCCCCATCCCCTTTCTAGGAGTGGCATAAAAGAGATTAAACATGTGAGGCAGTGAGAAAAGATGGGGTAAGACAGATGTCAAGCCACATGGGGATCTCCAAGAACCAGGAAGCAGAAGCCAAAAAGTCAAGGACCTACCTCCAGAGCCAATACAGAGAAACCCTTCCCCTAGAAGCAGCACCTTGAATTTGGACCCCAAGCCTCCTAAACAGCAAGAAAATAAATTCATGTTTTTAAAGCAACCCACTTGTGGTACTTCTGCTATAGTAGCACTAGATAACTAAGAATTTGGTACAAGAAGATAGAGTTACTGCTCTGACAGATACCTAAAATGTAGAGGTGGTTTCTGAATTGGGTAATGGAATAGAGGCTGGAAAAGTTTCAAGGTGGGGTACTGCCTAAGGCATTTGACTGCTAATCAGAAGGCTGGCAGTTCAAAACCACCAGCCACTCCTCGGAAGGGAAGCTGGGCAATCTACTTCCTCAGTGACACTGCCCAAGGAGGGGTCACAGTGAGTTTGGATTTTTTAATAGTAAAAGCCTAGATTGCCTTGAAGAGACTGTTGGTGGAATTATGGATTTCAAAAGCAGTTCTGGTGAGGGCTTGGAAGGGAGTGAGGAGAACTGTACAGAAAGTCTCTATTGTCTGAAGACAATACATATGGTACTAACAATAAAATGTTCTAGAAATGCAGATGTTGAATGTGCTTCTGGTGAGCCTTTCAAAAAAATGAACACGTGATTGGACAACAGAGAAAGAGCAAGTTCTTATGCAGTGGCAAAGAACTTGTCTGAATGTTCAAGTATTTATTGGAAGATAACTGATGAACTTGATTATCTGGCTGGTGAAATTTCTAAGCATGATCTTAAAAGGCACCACATGGTTTCTCCTTGCCTGCTGCTTATAGTAAAATGCTGGGCAAAATGGGAAAAGGAAACAAAAAAAAACCTTAAAGACTTGCACAATTCTGTTGTATAAACTAAGGACACATGTTCTAGAATGTTCACCAAGGACTGCTTACACAATCTTTGTTAAAGAGGTTAAGCCTGAGACTGAAGGATCTAACCAACTACCACAGTAGGAAACTCCTTAGCTTAGACTGAAGGGGACGGAGAAAGAATGAAAGAAAAGAACACTTCTGCCTCTTGGAATTCCACAAGCAGGAAACAGAGCACAAGACCTACATCTATTCTCTAAGAAAGGAAAAGGACAATTCCTGGAATAGCTTGGAGATTGTAACTGTTAGCAAGAGCATGGGAAGCAAGGCTTTCCCAGTGTCAAAGGGTAGGGTCACAGCCTCCTAAGGATCTTAGCCAACTTGGTTCCAGACGGTGAAGCGGGGAGATGGAGCCACTCTAAAGCTGAGGGGGCAGGGCTGCCATGCCCAAGGGGTAAAAGAAGGGAGGCCTGGGCGAGGTTACCACTCAGATGGACTAGAGAATGGGGTCGCCCAAGTGGAGGGAGCAGAGGTGTAGTCTCAGTGGGCCTGGAAGACAAAGATGAAGCCCAGGGCTGAGGGGTCTCCATGCGGAAACTGGAGGACATGGCCAACACCCAGAAGTCTGGAGGGCAAGGCCATTGTCCAGATGATGGTCTCAGAGAACAGAGGATTATTTTCAAGCCTTGAGAACTAATGTAAATTGCTCTGCCAGAGGTTGGACTTCTTTCCTTCCAATTTCTCCCATTTGTAATGGAAATGCCTACCTTGTGTATATTCTACCATTGTATTATGGCAATGGATAACTTGCAATCTAGACTTCACAGGTTCACAGATGAAGAGGAATTTTGTTCCAGGAAGGAATACGCCTCAAGTCTCACTCTTATTTGATTTAGATGCTTCAAAAAATGATATTTAAAGAGATCAAAGAAGTTAGTGAGCAAGCAGAGAGGAGGAGAGAGAGCTGCCAAGCCACATGGAGATCTCCAAGGAACCAAGAAGCAGAAGCTGAAGAGACAACACCTTTCTCCAGCGAGAGAAAGCCTTTCCTAGAGCTGGCACCCTGAATTCAGCCTTCCAGCTTCCAAAGTGTGAGAAGGTAACTTTCTGTTTGTGAAAGCCATCCACTTGTGGTGTTTCTGTTACAGTAGCTCTAGATAACCAAGACGCCTAAAAACCATGTAATGTTTAAAATTCTGATGGTACATTCTAAACGTATTTTGCTTTATTAGTATTGATAAAATGGTAATTTTTTATTTTAAATGCATAATTATATGAAGCTTTAGTTTTTCTCCTTACTGATGACAATACATTTTCTTTACTTGAGCCATAAACTTTTAACAAAACATGATTGCTACATGATTAAGTATGCAGATGTTTAGCACTTTCAAACTTTTATAATACAACTGAGCACCATTCACACCTGACAATATGGCACTAGCAATAAGGCAGTCATATCTTTTCTTGAAATAATCAAGCTGTTTTCCATTCCATAAATACAAATAATCTGTTTTATTTTGTATTCATTGTTGCACAGTATCAGAAGATGCTCCAAGCTGCAGTTCATTATTAATATCATTTCTTCTTTGTTCCCCTGCAGATTCAGAAGATTCATGTTTATGATATTTAAAAGGAATGTTAAGAAACGTATTAAAACTTTGTCATCTCTCCATTCTTGGTGTTCAATTTTAATATTTTATTATAAATCCTTAAATTTATATTAATACTCTGTACAACATGACTAATTACATAAAAATTATGCACAAAAATAAAACCATAGTTATAATTAATTACAAAAGAGTACATTAACAATAAAATCAAAGTAAAAGCTCAACTACTTAGATGCAGTAGCTGCTACATAATTCACAGATGACAATACACTAGTAACTCTTTAAAGCACAGAGACATATGTAAAGAATGCACAAGACTGTGTGTAGCCCAATAGGCCTCAAACTGGCAGATGGTACTGTGAGTGGTTTATAGATACCGTTACATGACAGGAGAACCCGCCAACAAGAATCATCAGGACAGTCTATGACAAATTTGCTTGACGCATTTTTATACTGGCACTGACATCATTACTTACATGCTAAGCAATGTTCTAGAAAACAGCTGGTAGATCCTATTCTATTCAGTTTACCAACTGGTAAAGAAAGCCAGTATCACCATACTGGTTTATACTAGCTAAATATCAGCCCTGGATATTAATCTTATTGCCTCAATAAACAAACACGCACTCCATTGCCATTCAGTCTATCCTGACTCATAGCAACCTTACAGGACAGACTAGAACTGCTCTACATGGCTTCCAAGGCTGTCATCTTTAAGGGAGCAGACTACGATATCTTTCTCCTGAGTGGCTGATGAGCTCAAACTGCTGACTTTTCGGTTAACAGCCAAGCGCTTTAACCACTGTGCCTCCAGGGCTCCTATTTCCTCAATACCAGTTTGAAATGCATTTTATCAAATACACAGTTGGTGCACATTTTACTGCATTTTCTCAAAGCTACGTATTTTTTTAAAAGAAATAAAGTCTCACTTTATGTCCAAATTTTGAAATAATGTAAATTCTTCCAAATGAAAAACTCATCTACACTCCTAATTTACAGGGGAAGTGATCTGTGTACTATGTCTATGCTACTGCTTAATGGCATGGTCACTAACTAGTAAACATAAATGTTCATTATCTTTTGAATTCAAGGTCTTTAGCAAATAAATTCTTCTGGCATGCTTTTTTATATAGCACATACCAAGATGACAAGTGGACATTCTTAAACTTCACTCAACACTTGCCAAATTATTAAAGCAATACATAGAATTAGGAATTAATCTCTGAGCTTCTTCCATCCTTGTCCTGGACCATAAAACCTCACTTGTACCTTAGCAACAAGCTTTGCAGACAAAGCTGCTTGTATTTGTAGACAACAATTACTTCAAAATGGTCGCTAGTTGAATTTACAAAGAACTTTCTAAAGTACCAATTCTCAAACTATATATGGAGTAAACATAAACAGTAAAAGGTTATTAAAATTTTTTGATGAATACTAGTTTTAGCATTTTCTTTTCCAGTCAACTTTATTCAAATAATTTCAACAAATTTAAGTGACAAAATTACACTGTGCCAGGAAACACAACTATTAACTGTTTCAATGACACCAATTTTGCCCCCAAAATTAAGTATTATGCTTAAAATAAAATAAAGGCCTCATTAAGGAGTGAAGAAGAATAAATCACAGACTAAAATCAACTTTAAAACAGGAGGAGGGAAACATACTCAAAGAAGATCACTGGTTCTAACTTGCTTGAATTTGACTGAGGAAAACATCTACAAAAACATGGCTATGGATAGAGGGAAGAATTGTATGTGTGTGCGCGTGAAACTGTAAAATATGTCCTGGTGGCTTAAGTCTTAGCACTAAAGTAAGTCCAAAAAAAAAAGCCTGCCAAACTCACTGCCATCAAGTAGGATCCAACTCACAGTGACCCCTCCTTGGGTTTCTGAGGCGGTATCTCTACGGAAGTAGATTGCCCAACCTTCCTTCCGAGGAGTGGCTGGTGGGTTTGAATCGCCAGCCTTCTGGTTACCAGTCAAGTGCTTTAGGCACGATGCCACCAGAGCTCCTAAAGTAAGTCCCGTAACCTTGAATTTTTCTAACTTTAGAGTTAATATAGATATAAAAGATATCCTTCAATGTTATTTAAGAACTGCTCTAGGAAAACAGTTAGTGGATCCTATCCCAATAGGAAGGGAAAAATCTACAGGGTAAAGCTGATCACCAAATAAACCCTACATGTGCATAGTATGTTCTGGTGGCCTACCAAGAAGTGTACTCCCTTTATCTGTGAAGCTCCTATGATAAATATATCAGGAAAAAGTCTCTAAGTACAAACTCTCCATAAGAGAGAGTCATTTTTTCCCCCTACTATCCTATCATATTTGCTATCATCAGGAACCGACAGATTGCTGTGCAGTAAAAAATTATAATATGTGAACGTGACATATTAAAACATATTATTACCTTTACATAAAACCTTTCAAATTTCCTTTGAACTTCTATTTAAATTTTTAAAACTCTATTTGTTGTAAAGATCAAGATTAAAAATAAATAATAAAATTGATAAAAAGCAAAACAAAACTCTCCACATACCTGGCAAATCTGATGACATGCTTGAAATTGGCGTGTGGTGGAATGGTACAGAGTAGTCTGTTAATGAAGGCGGAATAGCAGCAGGATCAACCGAAGTCACACTGGGCACCCTTACAGAAGATGGCTGATACATGAGAACCCTGTTTTAAATAGCATGGGAAATTACAAACAATCTGGCTGTTAGTTCACAGGAGAGAAGGGCTGTACCACTGGGCATTCTCAGCTGTAAGTGCACTAAGTTTCAACACAACTACATGGCAGCTACTCACTACACCGTACTCCACTCTACTCTCCTCTTTCTTAAGTCTTCATTTTAACATGAATGTATCTTGACTTTCAACAGCAGCTGTGACATAAGAGCAAGCTGGCATTAAAACATAATGTATAGTGCTGGAGTAATACATAACATTTTCATCCAAGAACAAAAATATACTTCACTTATCATATATGCTTTTATTAAGGAGTCCTTGGTGGCACAAAAGTTAAGTGCTTGACTGCCAACCAAAAGGTTGGCGGCTAGAACCCACCCAGTGACTTTGCCACAGGAGAAAATATGTGGCTATTCTCCCATAAGGAGCTCTGGTGGCATAGTGCCTAAGGCATATGACTGCTAACCAGAAGGTGGTTGGTTCAAACTCACCAGCCACTCCGCAGAAGGAAGATGGGGCAATCTCCTTTTGTCAAGATTTACTGCCTTGGAAACCCAATGGGGGTTGCTATGGGTTGGAATTAACTCGACAGCATTGAGTTTAGTTTTGTATGTTTATCTTGTCCCCATAAAGATTATAGCCTAGAAAACCCGAAGGGACAGTTCTGTCACATGGGGTCACTATGAGTGAGAATCAACTCAATGGCATCTAACAACAATAATGACATGCTTTTACTAATGTATATGAAAAAAAAATGTGCGAGTATTGGTAATTTTATTTATAAAGAAATTTAGAACTCAAGCTGTTGTTAGTTGCTGTCAAGTTGATTCTGACTCATGGTGCCCTGAAGTGTACATAGTAGAACTTCTCCACGGGGTTTTTAAGGCTGTGATCTTTCAGAAGCAGACTGAGGTGGTGCTGGGTGGGGTCAAGCTACCAACCTTTTGTCTAATAGTCAAGCACTTAACCAAATGCACCACTTAGGGCCTCCAGAATGCAAGTAGGGGACTCCTAAGGTTTGATTTGAATCTTTGATTGAACAGAAGTTCTTCAATTTGTACTTGGATTCCAGTAATTACTAGCATCTTATCTGGGAATCACTTGCGCAAAGCCAATCCCAAGGTCAACAGACCTACAGTGGTAGACAGCAATCAGACATCTGGAGATGACTACTTAAGATTTAACATGTATTTAAAATGCTGGCTACCATGACACCACCCACTCTTCTAGAAGGACTGATGACTCTCAAGTTACTCGTACATGCTAAAAGTACAAATAAAAAACAAACACAAAATAGTTATTTTAAGAATCAATACAACACACACACACACACACACGTAATATATTGAGTTCAGGCTTAAAGAGAAAAGATTTCAGTCTTCTTATTTAAACTGCATTTTCTCTTGGCTCAGGGTAGACAACCAGAAGTTTACAAGAAAAACATCTTGCATGTTAATAAGAAACTAAACTATGTTATTGACCTGATAACAATGTTATTGGCTGATGGCGGCCATGTTGCAAACAAGTAATGGTGTGTAAACAGGAACTAAAATAAAACATTAAGGTTAGCATCCCAAAGTACTGCCAATCAACTAATGTATAGACTGAAGCTCAGAATTCTGTAGCTGGACGGGATCCTTACAAAGATGAATAAAGTGAAATCTACAGAAACTGAACAAATTAGAAATGCAGTCACAAAGCTAAACTGGAATGAAAGCTTAAGACCGCTAAGTGTTCTTTCTCCTGGTTGAAACACGCCTTTGTTGATCAGATTATTAAACTGTGGCAGTATGTAACAATGACATATTTGCATACATTCTTCATGCTCCAAACAACTGACCAATTATTTCATAACCTGTATTTAAATCTCAAAGGAGCTCTTGGCATATGGTTAAATTCCCTGGCTGTTAACAGAAAGGTCAGCAAGTCTGAATTTACCAGTTGATCCATGGGATAAAGACATGGCAGTCTGTCTCCATAAAAGATTTATAGCCTTGGAAACCCTACGAGGAAGTTCTACTCTCTCTTACAGGGTCATTAAGAGTTGGAATCAACTTGATGGAAACAGTTTTGGTTTTATTTAAATCTCAAACCACTTAAAACTACTCACAGTCTATTTAGAGTTTTTCTAAAATTGGTTTGCACTGTGACACGAGGACCTAGTCTAGCTATCATTCTGTACTACTTCTCGGTATCATGGATGCCACTGAAAATGTGGACAATAAAGCCATCTTAACAGTACATATGCTTATGCTAACAACTGTTAAATCTCAGAGAAAATGAGTAACACAGGGCATATATGCAATATAATATGCTTGAGGTCATAGCGTAAGTACGGTATTCCAAAACACATCTTTCAGAGGTAGATGAAGATTTCAAAGACATTAATTAGGTGGATACTTGGCCTTCAATGTTACTCAGTGACCAAAAACTACAAGCAAGGGATGAGCAATGTTAGAAAGGAGACCCTACAGGGAGCTAGAGAGAAATTGGGATGAAATTAAGTAAGTTATATTTTATTTAAAGCTAATCTTTTTCAGGAGGGTTGATCACTACTGTCGAGTCATTGAGATCCCTCCTTGGGTTTCCAAGGTGGTAAGGAGAATGATTGGGGGGGGGGG